AAAGTGCCTGAGCGGAGCAGATCCCCATGAGCATCAGCATAACATCTCCTGGGCCCTGTGGCCACAGGCTGGCTGGGGGGCCCGCTTGATTCCGTTGGAGGGAAGCTTGTGCGGACAGAAGGACGTGGAGAGGTTTTAGGCCCAAAGCCAAGTGGCGGGGGGCATGACACACAGATCAACCAGCCCTCGTTCCCAGGCCCTCAAATTCTTGGCTTTTGAGGGAGGGGGGCTGCCTGGCGCCCGCCCCCCCGGCTGCTCACTCGCTGCCCTGGCTGGGAGCCGCCCGGCCGGGCGGGGCAGCCAAGCACAACATGCCGCCCACAACATGCCGCCTTGGGCCCGTAAACGCTTTGGCCGGGCCTGCCCGGAGGGGACTTTCTTGAGGCCCCTGCAGCCCTGCCAAGCGCAGGGAGGTGATACAGTGCAGTGACTCGCTGGGGGCTTTGAAACAACCCCCTCCCGGCTGGCGGGGCCACCCCCTCCCCACTGTCCGAAGTGTGGAGAGGCCTGCACCCTGAATGCCCCTCTGCTGATGGCGGCCGTGACGCCGGGCCTGTAATGCTGGGCAACGAGCCAAATCCCAGCAGTGAGCATTTCATGGCACTCAGCCCCTGGGCTTTCGGGGCTGCTGAGGTGCACTAGGAGCTCCTCTCCTCCTGCCTCCTTTCCCTCCCTTGCCCTGTCCCCCTGGCCAGGGGGTAGCTCTGCCCAGCAATCGTGTGGGGCCGAACCCCTAGGGAGGTAGTGCACCCTACTGGCGGCACCGGGTATCACGCTTCTGTGTCTGCAAGGCTCTCCCCCACACAGCGGCTCTGGGGAGGCAGCACCGCAACTAGTGCAACCCCCCACCCCTGCATGGGGACAGCTGCTGAATGTGGGTGAGACCTGGTAGCCAGGAAGGGCAGCAGACGGGGAACCAACGCGGTTTACTGTTGCCCATCCGTGGCAATCCCGGCCCCGGGGGATTGGGGTCAGGGAGCTGCAGCCAAGCACCCACCAGGCAGGAAGCTGGGCTGAGTCCTCCTCTCACAGCGCCTATGCCGTGCTTAGAATGGGCCCCGTCAGCGCTCCCCGCGCGGGGTGGCCTGCCACGAATCCATCGGGGCTTAGCCGCAGGAGAAGGCGACATACTGAGGGGCCAGGGATGCTCTGCAAGGGAGTGTGCTCCCCTTTCTAAGGGCTTTGCCCCACTCACGCTCCCTCTCCAGCTGTCGT